CATTTATCTGTGAAGGTCTTGTAAGATCTTCACACCCATCTTGTTTTATGTGTAAATAATTAATGATGTTTTATTAAGAAAGTTCGGGAGGAGCACGTTAGATACTTAGCCTAATTAGGGGGGGGGGGTACTCTGGGTTCGGGCCATTCCCGAGCTCGGAGCTCTTCCCCGGACAGCATGCCAAATATGCATTAATATACTTCAGCTAATTATGTGTAAGTGTGAACTCGTGAATATGTGAATAATTTTGGGGAAGTCGCTCCACATGACCACATGATTTTATTGGCGAGAGAATTTTATAACATTGTACCCATATTTGGGAATATTGACATAAAGATAAAATAAGTGGTCAAACATGGAAAAGTCAACAGACCAAGGGCTGTAATTTATATGCTATAGTGCGTAAATAAATAAATAAGAAGAGGTCTTTGAAGGATCAGCAAAATAGCTGTAGACTGCATATTTCCTTATGCAAATTCTAAATACTTATTTGGATATTTATATTCGGCATCACAGAAAATTCTTACCTTGAGGCAGAAAAAGCAATATTCTGTTACAGAATCTCTTATTGCGTAACTAATATGAATGTGCTGGGATTAAGCCATGTTTATTAGGAGGTATCCTTTCACCCCTGTGATGCATGTGTATTTCACATGAAACTCAATTTGGTTTTGGTTGAAAGCCATAGGATTTAGCCCCATAATGTCAGTGTAGTGTATAATGTCACTGTATACCATGCTCTTTTTTACCCATGAGTTTAAAAATTTGTCATGAAAGAATTTATATTCAAAAGAGTAAAAAGGAGTAACAGCAAGGGTCTATATTTAGACTACTTTTAGTCTGTGGAAATTGTGGAAGAATGACAGTAATTTCCTCTGAAAAGTATTTCCTCAGAGTATATGGGGTATCCTTGTGCTAGTTTGGTACATGTAATGTGAGTTCTATTTAAAGAGCATGCTAATTACAAATCAAGAGCATTCTGTGACAGAAGCTGGGACATGTCACACACATCATTATCGTGATAGATTTGTCATAAAAAAATTTAATCTTGGAATGTTTGGAATGCTCTGGTTACTAATGTAACCTCGGTTCCCTGAGATAAGGGAACGAGTGTTGCGTTGACACTCTTATGGGGAAACTCCTGTTTACTCTGATACTGAAGTCTGATTTGTTCACGTTCGTGTAGCTGCACGAACCAATGGCACTTCGACCCGCCAAAAAGGGAGCAGCAACCACTATATAAGTCGGCTCAGAGTGCCATTTCGTCAGAATCTGTCGACTGAAGCGACAGTCATTGATTTGCGTGCAGCCTTATAGCACGGCAGCCTATGCAACACTCGTTCCCTTATCTTATAGAACCAAGTTTATGTTAGTAACCTTATTGTTCCCTTTCGAACGGTCTCTCCCATTGCATTGACATGCTTATAGGGATCGCGTCCAATAGCGCCATGCTATAAGCAAATGCAGAACGACGCCGCTCTGCGAGTCTAGTCCTGGAGCACTGAGTATGTAAACATGAGCCAATAATGAGACCCAAGCTATTTAGGCTGAGGACTACATAACATAACCCTCTCCACTTATAAGGGGATTAGCTAGAATTAAGCGGACAAATTCCGTGCCTGCAGGGCAGGGACGTCCAAGTTATAAAACCTGGTAAAGGTAGACATGACGAACAGTCGGCAGTTGCACAAATATCATAGAAATTCCGCTGGACCAAGCCCAGTGGAGAGACTGGAGCGGCTCAAATGGAGGGAGGACTATAGACAAGTCCCAAGTTGGCACAATAAGAGGACAAGGCAGATTCAATCTCCGAGCTCCCCTCAGAAACTGAAACTGATTGACCAGCCACGAGTGAATAATTCACTGCAATGGCTGCCATATACACTTTGAGCATGGAAGGGGTGCACCCCTTATCCAGCAGCTCTTGTAGAAAGGTTAGCATTTGGGACACATCACAAGAGGACGGGTCCACGTTCCCTGCTGCACACCAGTCAGAGAAGACTGACCATTTTAGGGCATAAAGACGTTTTGGATACGGAGCTCTAGCCTCCAAAATGGTATTAGATACACTCGCTGGGGGGCTGCAAAGACTCCCATCGAGGGGCCAAACATGAAGATTCCACAGCTCTGGCTAGGGATGCCAAACCATGTCATTTGCTTGCGAGAGAAGGTTCTCCCTCAGTGGTATTGGCCAAGGGGCTGCCGATAGCAGCTTAATCAACTCAGGGAACCACATCTGATTCCTCCAGAGTGGGGCCACCAGGAGGACTGAGCATCTGACTTCCCTGACCTGAGGAAGCAGGACAACCGGGAGGAAGGCATACAGGCGAGTGCTGGGCCAATCGTGGGCCAGGGCTCACTGTCTCAAAAAGTTGATTGGGCAGTGAAAGTTGTCTTCTGAGGCGAAGCGGTCCACCTCTGCCCTCCCAAAGACAGACCAAATAATTTGAACTGTTTGGGGATGTAGTCTTATTTCTCCTGAAACTACCATGTCCCTGAACAGCATATCTGACCCCTGGTTCAGTCTGCCCAGCACATGAACTGCTCTTAGTGAGAGGAGTTTACCCTGCGCCCATAGAAGTAGGCATCGAGCCAACCGGTGAAGGGACCGTGACCTGAGACTGCCATGGTGACTGATAAAGGCTACCACCGTCATATTGTCAGAAAGAGGAGGCATCGGTCGTGACCACCTTCCTTCTGGAGGTCAGTCCCAATGGGAAGCCTGACTGAAAGAGGTGAGAGGTTTTCCAAGGGGCCACGACTCTGATGCAGTGGTGGGTTACCCTGAGAAACGTTCCAGGCACCAAGCATGGGACGGAGCAAGGGGCTACATGTTGAGCAGGCCAAGATGAATCACAGAGGAAGTGACATGAGGTGGGTAAGGTCAGGTAGGGTCATCAGAACTCTGGCTGGACTCGTCCATGGTGCAGAGAAGTTTGGCCTCGAACACTTGCAGCACGCCATGTACTGGTGAGTTCCTGGTGAGAACTGCCGGCAGGAACGGAGCGGCCATTGGCGGGAGGAATGTTGACCGCGTCCCTTTAGGTACCACTCGTCAAGGAAGCTGCGGGCGTGCTCTTCTGGAGCCGAACAAGCCAGGTTTAGATCCTCCGCAGTCTTAGAACGCGGATCATCTCTCTGTCTACGCTGGACCGTGTTGTCTGCATGAGAGGTGGGGTTTCGTGCTCTTTGCCGGAACACGCCCACTCTTCAGCATCTGAAAGCGTTCATGACATGGAGTCATCCAAAGCGGCTTCCTCCTCAGATGTGTGGGCATTGCCCAGACAGGCGACACACTCAACTTCGAGCCACAGTATGCCACACTTGCCGCACGACATTTACAACAACTTTGCTGGAAATTTGCTCAGAAATTTGCTGTTAGTGCTGGATTTCCACAGTTGAAGCATTCTGGCTTCTTCTGCTGCCGGGGCTCCTTCTACTGCAGCGAGCAGTAGGCTGAGTTGAGCTTCTTCCTTCTTGGGCTTCTTGCTTGCAGAGTCAGTGAGGAGATTATCTTCGTCGCTGAAGGAGAAAAATTCTGACGAAATAGTGCTCAGAGCCGACTTATATAGAGGTCGGCTCCTCCCCTTTTGGTGGGTTGAAGCGCCATTGGTTAGTGCACCTACACAAACATGAACAAATCAGGCTTCAGTATCAGAGTAAACAGGAGTCCTCCCATAAGTGTGTCAACGCAATGGGAGAGACCGTTCTGAACGGAATATCATTCATTCCCCATAAAGGTTATGACAGAAGTATTTTCATGTGTTTTCATTTACTTCTCGGTCATTTAATTTCTTGTTTTCCTAAAGTTAGATCATTCACAAATGCAAAGCCTGACTTTTAAAACTATACTATGAAATTGCTGTATTTATAATGGGGACCAAAAGTCACTATGGAAAATTTTGTAATTTTATCGGAAATGTTATTATCATCATAACAATTTTAATGAAAAGTATAAGTGGGGGGGGGGGGGGATTAACAATAATTTCTTCCATAGTTTGTCAATCTTGATGATCCCCAGCATGATTTGAAATTTTAAAAAGCATCTTGTGCTTTAGTGAAAGGAAGAACTTCTGTCTTTTCTCATTATAAATTTGAGTTAAGTCCCTGAATTTGAAATTAATTTAGTTATCAGAGAGGATATAAAATTGCAGTTCAGATCTGAATGTAAGGAAGTTCCAATGAATTGAAAATAAAATAATGCATATACACTCTGCTGGGTTTAAATAAATAAATAAATAAATAAATAAATAAATAAATAAATAAATGTATGTATGTATGTATGTATGTATGTATGTATGTATGTATGTATGTATGTATGTATGTATGTATGTATGTATGTATGTATGTATGTATTTATTTATTTATTTATTTATTTATTTACCCACCCAAATGCTGGGTTCAGCCTGTTGGGTCAATATATTGGGTTATTTTTTTATATTTTTACCCAGGTGTGTTTTTCTTTAACTCATTGCCACCTTGTAAGTTTCACCTTGCGCCAAATGAATACACGACCACGGCTGAAACACGATGCGACTTCACTGTTATATGTAACATAGTCTCGCATAGCCAGACCTTCAGACTGACTGCAGAAGGTCTGGGAAACTTGGCCGCTTTGAGTGACCAAGGACCGCCCAAGAGGCAATATGACTGACAGGTAAAGCAACCAATCATGTTTAATTTTGTGCCACATCATGTTTAAGGGTGTGGAAATGTCCCCACAATAACAGACCGGTGTGTAACACTCTTAGACGCATTTTAAAGAGTCTATGCTGTGAACTTTACATATTTCACATACTTTTGAAAATTCAGTGCTTAGTTGATCCTGAACCTCACTGTCTCGCTTTCTAAAATACTGCACAAATAATCTGCATTTCAGCATAACACGATGTGTCAGAATAAGTAATTATATGGTTTTAACACCACAGAATATTTACTTTGGTTAAAGGCAAAATAGCAGTGCTACAAAAATAAAACTATCTTTATTTTGTCACTTTCAGTTACACTCAAACTCAGACAAAGGTGATGGCTCCGTCCAATATCTACTCTCTGGAGAAGGTGCCGGTAACATATTCACAATCAACGAGTTAACGGGTGATATTCATGCAAAGAAAAGCCTGGACAGAGAAAAGAAGAGCCATTATATCCTCCACGCTCAGGCTGTCGACCGCTTCACCAATAGAGCCGTGGAACCTGAGTCCGAATTCATCATCAAGGTCCAGGATGTTAACGACAATGCCCCCAAATTCCCAGATGGCCCCTTTTCAGCCTTCGTGCCTGAGATGGCAGACATCGGTAAGCCAACACCGGGAGATGGGGGGCAGTGTCTGGGGGCAGTGCTCGTGGACCAGACGAACATTTTGTCAGTAGAGCTTAGGTTTTTATTAGCTGGCTCATCAGGTTCAGACCGCAGAGTCCCAGTGCAGATCTGAGCCTTTCTGACCAGGACACCAGCTCATCTCATGCTGCTGGTTGGTTGTGGTGGATTTATAGTGGGATTTATTAAAGCTATTGTTTCTTATATAAAGCCTCTCAAGAGGACACTATTTATTGTCTGTTGTAGAAAAAGTGATTTCAGGAGTAATGTCAAAATCGAACCAGCATCTCACATAAAAACCTCAAAAGTATATTCACTCGCACAAGGGGTGCAAATATTTTGAAGTGCTTCCAAACTAATGCAGCATTCGATAAACAAAACCCAGCTGTGTTTACCTCTTTTTCCACCCGTATCTCAATTTGAAACGTCAGTGTTTTATAGATCTGTGCTATACACCCTAATACATGAGTAATCCACGTGCAGAGCTTGCAGTCTGCATCAATTGCAGTCCACATCAACCCTGCAGTAAATAGACTGACAGGAAAGTGCTAATTGTCTGCACCGTTCTTCCTTCCTGTCCGAATCAATTGGCTGGACTCAAGCCAAAGAGCTTTTAAATTATCATTCCTCACAACCTGTCGGCACAATGTTCCCCTCTGGGCACAGCTAGGGTTAGGCCAAGGATTATTTCTCACTTTTGGCCTTGAATCTCTCTCCTTCACCACTTTTAAAACATTGAGTCTTTAAAACTAGTTGATTCTTTAAAAATTAAACCCAAACAGAAGGTCATTATCTGTATATGTATCTGTACCTGTTGTGATGACAAAATTATCTGTACAGCATTCGGGTGAAACTAGATGTGAACAACACTGGACGTGCGTCAAAACTTAATTATGGTTTCAATGTAGAGAATAGGTTTAATGTATTAATTATATATATAAAATAAAAAATATAAATCAGATCAAAAAATAAAATCAGTATTAATGCGATTAATTATTTATTGTTTTGGTTTTAAATGTTTTGGTCAGCAAGAGTTTTAAACATTTTTTTATGTTTTTAATGGCTATATTTATTTGATTAAAAATACAGTAAAAACTGTAATATTGTTAAATATTATTACATTTTATAATAAGTGTTTTCTATTTTAATATATTTTAAAATTAATTTATTTCCTGTGGTGGCAAAGATACATTTTCAGCAGTCTTTTTCATTTATTAATTTATTAAGCACCAAATCAATAAAATGTTTCAAATTCTTAATATTTAACAGTTGTGTTTCAAAAATAAGAAAATGTGTATGATCTAGAATACTCATGTGATTCAAGTTTTTGGAAATATCAGATAAATAATAACTAAAAGCTGATGATTCAAATCAAGCTTCAAGCTTCAAATCAAACTGTGCAAATTTTCAATCATAAATTTCTCACTTTAATTATATTCGCTTCACAGGCATGCCATTGCATTATAATTTTAGAAATATTCATTAGAAATATCGCTTTGTTCTATGTTAAATAATTAGCTTTTTTTCCACCTATTTTTCGATATAATTTGTTATCCTCAAGTCATTATTTGTGCCTTTCCGAGTAAGACTTTCTGCTTCGGGTACAGAACAAGCACCAGCAGTCTCTGACTCCACTTTACCAAGCTGTGATGAATTAATCATCAGCAACACAGAGCCATATAAGCTGGTTGAGGGCCTCTGGCCTTTCAAGAAGGGCTATCCTAGAGTCTGGTGCCTTCTATTGTGTTTGTGTTTTTTTCTTAAACTGCGAATGCGTTTCTGGCTAGATCAGTGTTATCGCCACCATCCAAGCCCCACACACTTTGTAATAGCATTATGCTTTAAGGCTTGGAGGAGATAGGCTCATGACAGGTGAATTCAACCTGGTACAGGTCAAGGAGGCATGAGATGTGTCACTTGAATTAGCAAGCGGCAAATGAGTACTGCCTCTGTCGGAGCATGCTTGTGGCATGCATTAATGACAATGAATGCAAATCTAAGAATGTGAATAATTTTAGCAGTTTAACGTGGACATCTTTTTATGTCCACACAGGAACGTCGGTATTCCAGATCACTGCCACAGATGCCGATGATCCCACCTACGGAAACAGCGCCAAGATCGTCTACAGCATTCTCCAAGGGCAGCCTTTTTTCACCGTCGACCCCAAAACTGGTACGCAAATACCTCGCTTTCTACAAATAACCTGTTTTATGGACATTTGGAGATGTCTTTAACTGAAGAAGGCTGCACGTGAATATTTTCTTAGTGTTCCTGTCAGCTTGTGTGAAGTCACCAGCGGATGAGTCATTCCACAATAATAGGCTGTAAGAAACACAGATACATTTTCTCTGTAAAACAGCTTTCAGGCTCACAAAGGAACTCACAATTTATTGCGCTACCCTATTTGGATAATAATTAATGGGTTCTCACATTGTTGAGGGGCTTTCATACATGTTGTTTCCAATTTGAAGAGATGTTGTTTTCTACATGTTGTTTTCCTCTGAGACTGAGGGGAAAAAAAACTCCCAACCAGTACCAGAATGCGTCTTTTGTCGCCGAGACTTCAGTCAAGCATTTAAAGAATATATTTGGATTTGTATGCTTTTTTGAATGAAGCTTGGACTCAGGCATCTACATTTAAATTCCAATAAATCATGCGGGAAATATCATTCTCAGTTGTATCTCAGAAATAAATCAATAAACCTACATTGAGGGCGATGAATATGGATGGTTTTCTTTGAAGACTTGCATGGTACACTCAATTACTCTCACTAAGCCCGGGTGGATAAATAAATAATTTTCATAATATTATCAACACATGATTGAAACGTCGAGCCTGAGCACCAGAACGGCCAGACACAGGAACAGTTTCTTCCCTCAGGCCATCCATCTCATGAACACTTAACAATATCTGTGGAACACACACTATTTATTCACTCATCCACTTATTTATCTAACACTCATACTCAGCCTACACCTCAAATTTGCACATAATATACAGTACCTGTACATAAAAAAATAAAAAAAACACTGTCTATTGTAATATACCTGCACACACAATTGTCAATTTATATATTTTTATTCCTTATTTACTTGTTCTATTTTTATTTTTATTATCTGTGTTTTTTGTTCTGTCACTGTCATTCTGTTACACTGTGGAAGCTTCTGTCACGAAAACAAATTCCTCATATGTGTAAACATACCTGGCAATAAAGTTCATTCTGATTCTGATTCTTCTTCTGAGAGCACGGCACCGTGTGACCCTGGACTACACTGTTCTGTGGAGGCTTGAAAACACCCGAACCATGGCCTACTTGTTATGATGTACCGCTCGCCTACAGTGTATATCCTAATTTAATGTCTCCCTTCCTCACTCGTTTTTCATTCTGTGCTTAGTAGCCATTTGATTCAATTTCCACAGTGGTGGTGTTTGTTTATGTCAAGTTGAATGTGCCTGGAGGGTGTTTGTCCCAGTTTGAAAGCGCCAACCTGCAGAGTGTTTATCCCATGATAGAGCCTATTTGGTGCAGGATAAATTTGCTTGGCTTTTATGCATTTGAGTGTGCCAGCGTGGTGTGTATAGATGCACAAACGTCTACATCAGCAGTGTACAAGGTAAAATGGTGAGCATCTGTTCCAGCTGTTAGTGTGTGCATGGTTTTTCGTCAAACGCCCTGTCAGCAACAGCATGAGCTGCTGACCCAAGAGACTCAGCTTAGTACCAATATATACTTCCATCCCTCAGATATTCACCACGAATCCACGCCAATTTACACAGAATTGCTTCATGGGTACTCCACTGTGCATTTATTTATTATGTGTAATTGCTCATTCAGTCTCCCTCCCGCTGGGACCCGTGGGATTGTTGCCGTCCTCCACTGAAACGGCAGATCACTGATGGCGTTTTGTCTTTTATTGGTGTCTTCGGCGCTAAAACTATGAGATTGGATGTATTCTACTCCCTCCATGGTCTGTCTTTCAACTCTTTTCACATCTCTAATCCCCTGTTTGTGGCTGTCATGAAGGTTTTGATGGGATTAAGAGGCCATTTGATAATGTTCACATCAGGGGTTATTATCGTAGGGTGCTGGTTTTAGCGTTGCATTCTTGCATATCAGTGTTGCTTCCTCATTTTGACAGGAAGTGCCTATACCCTTAGCACTGAGAGCAGTGTATAGTGCTGAGAGCACTGATAGGGTGTTTGAAATAATCTAATACTCCAGGTCTAGAGAGCCTCTTTTGCTCTAGGAGAGAGTTAGAGCATTGATGGAAGCTTGTCTCTTCTGCTCTGAGCATCACAGCTATGAAACTTTTTTACATTTTGAGTTTATCTGTAGATATACAGTAGGTGGTGTTGGAAAAGCTACTCTTGAAAGTGTGGTTTGCCAAGCTACAAGTTGAGAATTTAATGAGAAACGTATTTGGTACAAAAAAAAAAACAATGAGGGTTTTTGAATGAACAACGTCAGTAAGTGTCAATTATTCTATTCTAATTCATATTTAATAATATGAATATTGAAAAATAAAATATTTGTAGAATATTTCATATTACTGTTAATAATATTGAATAGTATATTTAATATTAATTGTATCATATTTAATATTTTACTTAAAAAATGTATAGGTTACATTATATGAGAGCTTATATTATATGTATTATACTTTATATAAATCTGCTCCAATCATTCTCTCAGGAGATAGGGGATAAGAGCATCTAGTAGTTTAGAAATGTGTAGAACATGCAGAAAAAATTTAGAAACAACTTAGTTGTGTCAACTCTGGATATATGGCTGTACTCAACAGTGGCTTACCAGCTTCAACTTTCTGTAGTCTGTATTTGGTAATGATTAATTGTGATAATTCATGCTATCTGTTATAGATCTTATTGTGAACAAATCATCCATGATGTAAGTTTATTTTATATTACTTGTTTGTAAGGTTGTCTAAACTATTAATATAAGGATCCAGTGCCATTTTTAGTGTTAAAATGCTTTTTCCCCCCGAGTGTTTTACTTATTCTAGTCTAGTCTGTTCTTATAGAATACAATATTTATCATATAATGTGGTATGTTATATAGTACAGTATGGTGCAATATTGCATAATATAGTATAATGTGATGTACATTCGAATATTGTGTGGTATAATGTAGTGGACAGTAGTATAGTATAGCATAGTAGAACATGCTTTAGCTGTTTTTCTTCCTACTGTAGAAATTACAAATTGCCCAAGCTACGGTTTCTACCATCCACCTCTATAAAAGTACAATGACTTGCATCATTGTGTCTAATCCTCTTAGCTGAGAATTACCTCTACTGCACCTATGTGTAGTAGTAAGTTCGCCCCATTTACCGGCGGGTGATGCTTAACCAGTGTGATGTTTCATACTTCCACTATAAGGTTGACTGTCTATTGTTCCATAGGAAATCAAACTCTCAGTACAATGAACAGGGCTTACCCAGTTCTGCATCAGTGTCTGGTCCTGTTTGCTTTATTTACTTTCTGTCTCTGCTTCGTGGCTACTAGCTGAATACTAAGAGCCTGTTTAACATGAACATTTTGCTTTTTTTTGTGTGTGTGTTGTCCGCTGAAATCCCCTTTTCCTGGCAGGTGGTCTTCATCTCTATGACATTCTCTGGGGCTGGCGTGTGTTTATTTGTTCTGGCGGATTGAGATATCTGTTTGCATATTTTTTCTCACTCCCAATGGTCGTGTTCGTTTAAAAATGGAACATTGCATGTTCGAATATTTAAACTGTCCGTCGGATGCTAGAAATGTACTGTTTTCTACACATCCTTCTTTCCTTCCTTTCTATATAATATTACATTTCTGTATACATTTTTAGGTCTTCTTCGGTTTTCAGCAGACAAAGAACACCATAAATGAACCTCTGTTATATATTAGCAGATCATCGGGTTACACCATTTTAAAACATCAATAGAAAAGAATGGGATATGTCTTACATTAATAGCTTGGCTTGAAAATGCACACTTTTCTATGATTTCTGGATGATGGATAACCTTAGTGGCGGCTAGTCGGGGGAGGCAGGGGAGGCACAGCTTCCCCATAATTTTGAGGTGAAAATGGGAGGACGTTTTAATGTTAAAGGGGTCATATGATGCTACATGCACTTTTACAAGTTGTTTGAACTGAAATGTGTGTTGGTAGTGTGTGTACACAACCACCCTAAAATGATAAAAATCCACCAAGTGTTTTTTTTTTTTTAAATCTGCTCAAATCGAGCCGATCTCTGATGACTGTCTGTGTGATGTCACAAAAACAGGCCCCTCCCACGATAGTTTGATTGACAGTAGCGTATCAGCACAGACTGGACTGGCGTCTTACCTTAGACCCTCCCTGCGTGCGCTGAGCTGTCATCAGTCCGCCATTGTTTCACCGCCGGAGCAGATGTAGACAAGAATGACTCCTAAGCGATTGAGGTGTTCTGTTGTTGGATGTAATAATGAACATAGCAGTCATCATTTACTCCCGACATCTGAGCCGCTGAAGACGCAGTGGATTATGTTTGTTTTTTAAGAGAATGCTCCCCCAATCTACATAAATGCTTCTATGTTCGCCCGAATCATTCTTGATCCAGCTTCATCTACAGAAGAAGTAAGTGTAATGTGCTGATTAGCAAGTTTCACGATGAATGCGGGTAAAGTAAACAGTCCCTCATAGAGCGGCTCGGAAGAGAGGGGCGGGGTCAGCAGAGCTCATTAACATTTAAAGGAAAATTATTCAAAACTGCATGCTCTGAAAAGAGCTGTTTTTGACAGGGTAAAAAAGGTGTTTTTTAAACTACCATTGAGAAATTTTAACCAAACTATGTTACAGACTTTTCATTAAGACCCTAAAGAATCATATCAACCTGTGGAAAATGGGCATCCTATGACCATTTCAGTTCATGTCTCAGAATGTGTATTTTTTGTTTGTAATTTCACAGTTGTAATACCATAACGTGAAAGCGCCGCTTTTCTATCGCGAATGTGCCGAATCTGCTGATGTAATTACAACCGCTAGGTGATAGAGATGGGGAGGGGGAGGCCGGGGGAGAGCTGAGCTCTCATGCCTCCGTTGGTAAAAAAAATTAGCCAATCAGCATCGAGTGTTCACTTTCAGCGCTGAGGAGTGTTGAGAAAAGAATCCTCGTAGGAGAGGCTAGCCTCCCTTCTGATATCAACCAATCATCAAAGAGACGTAAATTAGTTTGAACGTCTCCCGCTACGCTGATAATGTACCAAGTACATATGATGAGTAGCGATATTGATTATTTGATTGCCAACAGATTTACCAAGCTGCCATTCAAACAGTATATATACATATTTAAAAAAGGGAAAACAGCCTAAGCTGAATATAGGCTACAGCAGTCAGGCAGCAGGCAGCTCTCTTTTAACACAGACTTTTAAAAATCAAGGCATTTCATACACAGTTATTTGATAAAACTGTCAAGAAGTATCCTAATATATATATATATATATTTTATTTCACTTTAATGGCATAGAAAAGAACCTATACATTGCTATTAAAGTGACATTTCTGAACCTAAACATAGGAGCCTGATAAAAATGCTAATTTTAGAAGACAATTTTCAGATGGCACTTAGAGGCTTTTGCATCTGAACCCTTCATATATATATATATATATATATATATACACAGTATATTCACTAACAAGTAAATACAATTATTCTAGTGCTATATACTGACAGAGCTTACAAATGTTTGAAATGATGTTATTGATTTCCAGTTGTTTTTAAACAGCCCTTTGTTTGCCCATATTTGTGAACTGGGGCCTGGTTGTATCATGTCAGTTGGTGCTCATTTCTCAGCAAACATTACCATAGGATCTCATGGTGTAAAGGGGCACAAATGCAAGTTCACATGGCAAACTCAAGCTGTTCTGCTTTCCAGCCTTTCCTTCATCGCTGTCTTATCCTCTATCTCCTGAGGGAAGTGTTGAACCAGATGGCAGACTTTGCTTTAGAGCTGTGGAGTATGCAGGAGATGATCACCAGCATGCTTTGTGTGTGTGTGTGTGTACATTTGGAAAGGAAGGTTCATGCTAAAGGCTTAAACTGCATAGGAACGGTACATGGAGGTGAGGGGTCAGTACTCGCCTGCTGGTGTGTTTTCAAGCTCGAAAAGAGCCTCGTCAGGTCAGAGCAGGGTCAAAACAGAGGATAACCACTTGCTGTGAGCTCACGCCTCAATAACTAGGGGTCAAAGATCTGCAGTGTGTACACATGATATTCTGGACACACACCCTTCCTATGAATGGGGCTCTTATTGTTGGAAATGCCATCAAAGGGCTTTAGCAGTTTGATTTCGAGCGATGATTCGCCCAAAAATTCATTATTTACTCATGATCATGTCTTTCAAAAACCCATTTAACTTTCTATTTTCTGTGGAAAACAAAACGAGATGTTAGGCTGAATTTCCAAGCAGTTCGTTTCCGCACAGTGAAAATAAGTGGTGACCATGGCTATCATTTTCTCTGAATAATGACTTCATATCAGTCTGATCCTCACAGAGATATACTGTAATATGGCTTCAGTAGACTTAAAATATAGTGCATGTGCTGTGTGGACTACTTGTATTTTGCTTTTATGGTGCTTTTTTCCTTTGTAGAAGCTTCACAGCTCCAGTGCCTCATTTTCGTGAATTGTATGTGAATTCTATGGTGACTTTTAAGGGATTTTCTACCATTTTGTGGGAATTTCCATAGAAAATGTTTAGTGTATCTTGACAGAAATAAATGTTTTGTCCCAGCTTATACATGAATAAACTGTTATATATATATATATGTGACCCTGGACCAAAAAAACAGTCTTAAGTCGCTGGAGTATATTTGTACCAATAGCCAAAAATACACTGTATGGGTCAAAATTATAGATTTTTCTTTTATGCCGAAAATCATTAGGATATTAAGTAAAGATCATGTTCCATTAAAATGTTTTGTAAATTTCCTACTGTAGATATGTTAAAACTTAATTTTTGATTAGTAATATGCATTGGTAAGAACTTCATCTGGACAACTTTAAAGGCAATTTTCTCAATATTTAGATTTTTTTTGCACCCTCAGATTCCAGATTTTCAAATAGTTGTATTTCGGCCAAATATTGTCCTATCCTAACAAACCACACATCAATGGAAAGCTTATTTATTCCGCCAGTGTATCTTGACAGAAATAAATGTTTTGTCCCAGCTTATACATGAATAAACTGTTATATATATATATGTGACCCTGGACCAAAAAAACAGTCTTAAGTCGCTGGAGTATATTTGTACCAATAGCCAAAAATACACTGTATGGGTCAAAATTATAGATTTTTCTTTTATGCCGAAAATCATTAGGATATTAAGTAAAGATCATGTTCCATTAAAATGTTTTGTAAATTTCCTACTGTAGATATGTTAAAACTTAATTTTTGATTAGTAATATGCATTGGTAAGAACTTCATCTGGACAACTTTAAAGGCAATTTTCTCAATATTTAGATTTTTTTTGCACCCTCAGATTCCAGATTTTCAAATAGTTGTATTTCGGCCAAATATTGTCCTATCCTAACAAACCACACATCAATGGAAAGCTTATTTATTCCGCTTTCAGATGATGAAAAATTGACCCTTATGACTGGTTTTGTGGTCCATGGTCACATATGCTAATAATTATACTAAAAAGGGCTTTTGCAGTTTGCTGTTGCAAAATGCAAACTGAGAAAATACACACCTTGATTAACGTATACAAATAAGACAACCTTTTGTTTTCACTTCATTTGGAAGGCTCAAGACCTCCCTAACCTTTGCCTGGTATGCGAATATTGGCCATTTTAATATTTGTACTTGAACACCATAATTTGCAGAAAATGGCAATATCATTTTGAACATCCAATAATGGGATATGGGTTATGTAGGTCAGCGTGAGCTATATTTATGCTTTCTGCCCTCTGGGTCATAGGTGTCATCAGAACAGCTTTGCCGAACATGGACAGAGAAACTAGAGAGATGTACTCCGTCATCATCCAAGCCAAAGACATGGCCGGCTCTGTCGGGGGCCTGTCCGGATCCACAACAGTCAACATCTCACTGACCGACGTCAACGACAATCCACCACAATTCCCTCAAAGTATGAGTCTTTGCTTCTCTCGATCTCTTTCACCATGGAAAAAATCTGGATTTTAGGCACGCGACACGGACTTTCCATAGTAATCATCTAATCTTTAAATCCCTTTGAATGTACTGTGAATTTATCCCAAATGTCTGAATTCGTTTAAGCTTTATTTTGTGAAAGTAAACAACTTTTATTGAGCTTGCTCAGGTTTATCCCAAATAAACCCTGCAAATTAGCTGAGGGCAAGCAACACTTTTTTATATTTGCATCAAAAGATTTCGAATGTTTAATAAAATTGCATCTGTTCTGTTTGTGTTTATCCTCCACTTCAGAGAACTATCAGCTGTACGTGCCAGAATCTGCTCAGGTAGGGAAAGCAGTTGGTAAAATCAGAGCGAACGATGAAGATCTTGGCATCAACTCTGAGATGACATACAGAATTACCAATGAAGAAGGAGCTGCCATGTTTTCCATCTCTACAGACAGTGACAAGAGAGAAGGAATCATCTCCCTCAGAATGGTCAGAACTATATGTTCACACAAAGTCAATGGGTTCAACAGCCATGTAAATTCATGTCTGCTTATTCATCCATGTCCTGTTTTTCCCAAGCTGGCTAAACTGTCTTTTCTGCTTCTCCCTTGATCTTATTACTGATGTCCTTTCTAGCCTCTGGACTACGAGAAGAAGAAAGCGTACTCTTTGAACATAGAAGGTATCAACACCCATCTGGATCCACGTTTTTCTTACCTGGGCCCTTTCAAAGACACCACCATGCTCAAGCTTATCATTGGGGATGTTGATGAAGCTCCTGTGTTTACTATGGACTACTATATCATGGATGTGTATGAAAATGCTCCAGCTGGGACAGAAGTTGGCATGGTAACTGCTCAAGACCCGGACAGCACAAGAAGCAAAGTCAGGTGAGTTTTCAAAGAGAATTATACTGGTATATGTGGTTTTGAGGTATATTTTCAATGGCTATCAATGCAAATGTCATCGCCTGTCTCTGCCAGTAGTCTACCAGGGTTGTGCCCCATTCAGAATTTAAGTGAGAATGTCTTTTAAATTTTAATTCAGTTCCTCAATTTGATTGACAGTACCAAAGAGGCAGTATTGCAATTCAAATTGGAGGTTAAGGAAATACATATTCTCCCATAGCAAACTATGGTAATAGCAAACTCTTTTTTTGTCTTATTTCCCTAAAAAAATGTAAAAAAAAAATTCCCATAATTTATTTAAAATACACTTATCAAATCCATGAACATATTTATTGACATATCACTTAAGATTTACTGATATAAAATTATAATTAAACTTTATTTGGAGTATTTCTTTATTGCACAATGAACATTTCTTAATATTTTGCCTAAAATGTTTAATATCACTATTAATGAGGATTGTATGATCTCTGTCTAATATCAGTCTTTAAATGCAAGATATTTAAAGCGTACCTGAAATATACTTGCAATAGTTCCACTTTAGCATAAATACACTTAAGTATATCTTTAGTTGCACCTCAGCACAACTTCCGCACAATTAAAGTGCAATAAAGTTTAGTTAGTCCAACAAAGTTTGGCGAGAGAATGTTGGCCTTATTTGAAAGTTTTGAAAAAAGTTTAAAAAGCCTTCAAGTTTAAAGGTTTATATATCAGAGAGATCTAAGTGTTTTATTCTATGGTTAGTTAAACACATTCACACAAATTTTCAGCTGTTTAGGTTAAATAAAATAAAATATATTCATAAGGCTTATTAGAATCTGCTTTTATGATAATTTGTTAACAGGAAATATTTTTCCTCAAGGACACACATATTTCAGCATTAAAACATTTAAAGAATAATGTATACTCCTCATATGTGCATGTGAAACATCTGCCATCATAATTTGAATATGTTCTTTGAGTAGAACTTTTCTGCATTGCACTTTTAGATATTCCATTGACCAAAATGCAGAAGGTGATGCACTTTTCAGTATCGATGTTGACAGTGGACTCGTTACAACCACCAGGAGTCTAGACCGAGAGGAGGTAGCCTGGCACAACATCACAGTGATGGCTTCAGAGATTGGTATGTACAACTCTGAGGTCAAAATTATGTTTGTATCTAGTTAAACACATTCACACAAATTTTCAGCTGTTTAGGTTAAATAAAATAAAATATATTCATAAGGCTTATTAGAATCTGCTTTTATGATCATTTGTTAACAGGAAATATTTTTTTCAAACTCAAGGACACACATATTTCAGCATTAAAACATTTAAAGAATAATGTATACTCCTCATATGTGCATGTGAAACATCTGCCATCATAATTTGAATATGTTCTTTGAGTAGAACTTTTCTGCATTGCACTTTTAGATATTCCATTGACCAAAATGCAGAAGGTGATGCACTTTTCAGTATCGATGTTGACAGTGGACTCGTTACAACCACCAGGAGTCTAGACCGAGAGGAGGTAGCCTGGCACAACATCACAGTGATGGCTTCAGAGATTGGTATGTACAACTCTGAGGTCAAAATTATGTTTGTATGCATTGATTTAATTTTTTATGTGTTTATTTATTTTATTATTTATGTTTGTTTCTAAGGAAAACACAGGGAACCATTTTACCAATGCTATCTTTATATTGAGTCAAGCATTCTTGAAGTATGGACTGGGAACATTATGTCCAAGAAGCTATCATTGGCGCTGAAGTCTGAATCATCAATACTGACCAAAACAAATGTCTCCTTGAAGGAATGTTGCATTGTGGGATTGATGCTGAGGCTGCTGTTGGTATGCTGATGTGGCTTTGAAGGTGGACAGGGTCAATCAATTTTTCTTATCTTTTTCCTATTTTTTTTTCTCTCTTTCTTGTTTTTACAGATGCTTATCTAAACAATTATCTTTCCTCTACACTTTTCTTCACAGTGGTGTTCAGCTAATGGGCTGAAACTGCCCTCTTTAAATGCTTGCTGATAGTGAGCTGATAATGTTAGGTCACTGTAGTTAATCTCAGTTCCATCATACCGAACGACATTCCTCGCACGACTCCACAATGGGTGTAATGTTTCCCACATTGATTTTAAATTCCCATCATGCTTCAGTGAATCCAATGAGAGCAGCATGAATCATATATATCTCACTGTAGTGATATAAAATTATATAATGTATCTCAACATATATTTCTTCAACTTCAGGCTTTTCATGATTTATTTTTCACATTTTTGCCTTTAGTGTATAGGACAGCAGAGGAACACGTCACCCCTGTGTCACGGGGCTCAGACCACTTTAATGTCTCAGGGGAAGATTTTTTATTAAAACCTACACATTTCACCTTTTTTGCCATATAAAAACATTTTATAAATGCATTTGTACATATTTTGTTATTTTATCCTATTCACAGACAAAGAAAATGAAAATACATTATAGAAGTATGAATTATTATAATTAACTTTAATGATCCTTTTCAACAGTTATGGTGTCCAAAAAAAATACACAACAGTGTGAATGAAAAGCTTGAGGTGAAATGTGAGACATGTTATGTGGGCAGAAAAATAAACATAATTATCACTTGTGAGAAGATTACCATTGCAGTAATTATATCAAACTAGTGTAAAAGTGTAAAAATATGATTTAACTGTGCATATTTGGGATACATACAAATACTAGCTGTGAAATTAGCAAGACCGATGAACCAGATATTTTGCTTTCAAAATGTTTAAAATGTAATTTACATCACAAACGATGCAATTAAACACATATGATACATTCACCTATGATGCATGTATGTAGCCTAGTGTTGAACATTACTATTGGACTAATAAACTAGTGAGAATATTAAATGTCCACACAGTTAAAGAACTGCCAAAAATTGGCATTTGAATTATGAATAAATTATTTAAGGATATCTCAGTCTTGTAAATAAAACATGGTATTCAACAGCAAATATTGCTGATTGAAGCTTTGTACCAATGTGTCCTGATATGGCATGATTTCAATCATGTGAAATCCCTCATACACTGAGCATTCATTGTTGTTTTGCCAGTTATTTTTTAATTATATCAACAGAAAACATCCATGATTGAATATTTGTCATATTTTTTTCCCAGACAATCCAAATCTGGTGAGCTATGTACCAGTCACAGTCCAGGTCTTGGATGTCAATGACAATGCCCCCTATATTGCCACTGACAGTCCTCTGGTTGTGTGTGAAGGCTTCAAGGCAGGCCAGGTTAGTTATCTCCTCTCAGTCCTTTTTTCAGTGTGTCCCTATCATTCTTTTTCGACCTGTCAGCTCCAATCCGAACCCCTGAAACCATTTTTCCTATCGGTACTCCTCCTTTTCTCATGTCCTTTCTCCTACCCTATTTCTGAACCGTTTCTGTTTTCTCAAACCATCTTTTTTTCATGTTTTAATTCCGTCTTTCTTTTCTGACATATGTATGAACACACACACTCCCACGTACACTAACTCCATGGACACATGCATAAATGACAAACACATACGCTGCCTTTATGATATGTCTGACACCATCAAGGATGGATTTATCTGTGGCTCAACAGACTTTGGAGGCTTTTAAACCTATAAATAATTCAGCATGTACCAATGAATTCACCGGCAGATAGCAGTCCACATCAAGCACACTAGGAATGGCTCACAGGAATGTTAATCGTTGCACGTTGAAATCTAGGTTCATGTGCAGCAATGCACATCAGTGATGCGGCATAGCCATTATAGCTTTACCCTTGAATGAGATTACGATTTAAGCAGTTAGAAACACAACTCACACACAGTAGGCAGCAATGCATTTTTTTATATTAAATATCAAGTGTCCTCTTTGAACATTTGTGTCTGTTGTGCTGGTGGTTAACCATAAAGAGTATTTAAAATGATAGGTCACTCAAATATCACAATTCTGTCATCATTTACTCATTCAAATTCCTGTTCCAAACCCATTAGACTTTGGCTAATCTTCAAAACACAAATGTAGATATTTTTTTATGAAACTTGAGAGGTTTTTGTCCCTCCATTGAAAGTACAGGGAGTCAAAACTTAGACCATCCAAAAATGTCATAAAGGGGTCATAAAATTAATCCATAAGAATCAAGCGGTTTAAGCCAAGTCGTGTGATGTACAGTATGCTTGTGTGTCGATCATTGCTCAGATGTACATAAAAGCCTAAATTAAATCATCATATAAAGCGATTGTATCTCTTCACACGACTTGGACTAAACTGCTTCATATGGATTCATTTTATGAAGTCTTTATGACTTTCTAAGTTTTGGTTACTTGGTTACTACTTTCAATGAAGGGATAAAAACCTCTCAGGTTTTATTAAAAATATCTCAACTTGTGTTTCGAAGATTAACAAAAGTGGGTAACACTTTATAATATCTTTCATTAATAAATCATTAACAAACATTATATAATGCTTAATGGGAATGAGTGAGTGAGTGAGTGTGTCCCAGCACTGGGTTTGCACGAGTTAGTGCACTGTCAGGGCTGGGTTGCGGCAGGAAGGGCATCCGGCGTAAAACATGTGCCAAATCGGTTGTGCGGATCACTCCGCTGTGGCGACCCCTGATAAAAGGGAGCAAGCCGAAGGAAGAGAGAGGGATATAATGCTTAATGGATCATTAGTTCATATAGATTCAAAGAGTTAGAAACGTGAGATAATGTGCTTGTTATTGTTTGCTAATTAACTTATTAAACATTAGATAATGTTCAAACTAATAATTTCATTTAAGTTAAAACGCTTTCAAATGTCATTAAACTTTTAATTCCATATAATCAAGCACTTATTGAAAATCTACAAATGATTGTAACAGATGTTATAAAACAGATGTTAATTCACCACACTTTCTGCTATTGAGGTGTGATATGGGTAAGGTTAGGGACAGGTTTGATGGTAAGGGTTGGTTAAGGGGTCAGAAGTGTACAGGGGTCAAATTGATTATTATAAGGGAACATGGTTCAATCTGTTTATATTATATTATTTTGATAAATTAAGAAGTATTTTCTTTTTAAAAAGTATTTGTTTTCTCCTATTTATTTATGATTTAATGAATATCCTGTTTAATGATATACTGAAGAGTAGTATACTAATGTGAGTGTTGAGGCAATAAAAAATGTTTTGCACCAAAACTACAATCTGTTATGTCTTTAGCAAGCATTTAGCTAAACTTAACCAGCAACCCTTTACACAAACCTTGTTACATTAGCTAAAAGTCCAAAGCCCATAAAGATACTAAATGATTAGTAATCGTTTATAAACATTTACTAATGATGAATAGTTCCAACTTTAGATTGGTTACTGCAAAAACATGAACAAATGATTAGTAAAGATTTGTGAATAGGATAAATTCAGCTCTTTCGGGACACTTTTTGCCATCGAGACAACTGCTCATAAAGGTATTAATGATTAGTAAACATGTATAAACATTTGCAAATGATGAATATTTTCCACTTTAGATTGAGTACTGCAAAAACATGAACAAATAATTAATAGATTATTTGTTAAGATGTATAAATAGAGGTCTACACAACAAACAAAGGCCAATTAATGTAGATCATATGAACTGAAAATTTACTGACATTTGTAATCTTTTCAATTTATACTAAATAATCAAAGGCTAACCATTAGGTAATGTTTAGTAAGTTCATTACTAAACGTTACAAGAACATTATCTCATATTTCTAGCTATGTGAATGTATATTAGCTAATGATCTGTTAAGCATTATATAATGTTTGTTAATGATTTTAAAATGAAAGTTATTATAAAGACTTCATTCAAGCCCAATAAACCATTTACTGTCTGTTTTAATGCAGAGGTCCATTCATAAGCATATAAATTGTCTCTCATTTATTTTGACTTCTGGTCTGCTGGGCTCAAACATGAGCCCAGCCCATCTACTGTAACATCTAAATACAATCCTCTTCCCAACTACTGAAGTTCGTGATTGTAACTTTCTAAGATAGTCAGGGATTGCTGTCATGCTGTGGCCCTTGATTAATTGTTTCCACAGAGATAAGGAAAAACCAAATTTCTTGTACTGGCATCAATTCACAGGAAGCTCTTTTCTTTTGATCTGCTCTGCACACATTCACAACAGTACGCTGCATAAAACAATGCACTGTAATTTGGGTAGAAATCTGTTATGCAGTGACACAGGCTGTTTTCACACCTGGCTCGATTGCTTTGTCCAGAGTTCTATTCTACTCCCTTCTCCATATAACGGTCTTATTGAACTTTTGGGTGTAAAGTGCATTATGTTTACAAAATTATTTGTTATTGTCTTAAAACCATCAGTAAGAATGTGATGAAAACAAACAAATCTGTTTTCTATTTTAATATTTTAAAATGTAATTTAAAGCTTATTGTTGATTCCTGGATTGTCCTTTTAATTAACTACCAAAACTGCAACAAATGTGATCTGCTCCTAAAGGCAGTTTCTTGAGAAACAGTTAGCTAATTTGCATTACCCTATAATAAGTGTGAACTTGATAAAGTGTGATAGCTTGCTAAGGTGCATAATCATATATCATGAATATCAGTTCACTTTCGTTCACTTTAATAATTAGTCCAGACTCTTCATGAGGAGAGTCCCACTTGCAGCTGATGTGCTAGCAGGAGCCAATTAGGTTAACAAGCTGACAAAACATCGTGAGGCTGAGCAATGCTTCAAACCAGCTATCTGTTCAGTGACTGTGATCCAGACACCCAACTGGCCGAGGGGCTTTGGGTCAGTAGTCTGAAGTTAATGTCTTTCAAAAGTGGAGAGGAAGAAGAAGCCCAGGTGATCCAATTACATTTCTGGGTTATAGGGAGTGACAAAACCTGTCTCTCAGAGAAACAAAAGCGTCTGTTTTAGATATTTTTAGTGCCATTTTTCATTCAACCTTAATTCCGGAGGAAGAAAGAACTAAGCTTCAGCTTGTTTTCTCTTGTTCTCGGTGTAGGTCATTCAAACCATCAGGGCTACAGACAAGGACAACTTCGCCAATGGTCGGTTCACTTTTGCTCTACCAGAAGACCTTCCAGCAAATCCAAACTTCACTCTGAAGGACAATGAAGGTAAAAAAAACACACAATAACAAAACCACACTTCCACAGGATTTGTTTTGGCTTGGTAAGACATTTAATTAGAAATAGTTTGACATGTTAAGCCTGTATTTTAATAGTTGGTTACAAAAACAAATTCCATATTCAGTACTTAAGTTTTACACAGGTTCTTATGAAAGTTAAATAAGATCCTACTGATCTAAAAAGGCCCTCCGATGGCATCGCAGTAATGGAATCTTTCTAATGTGTTCCAGCTGATTTCCTGATGTTTGCTCAAGGCAAACCATCATCGCCTCTCCACAAACATATTTAGTACCACATGTTGTCACACAGATCACCCTTATTTCCAGCCTTCTTCTCTTCTTGCTCTTTTTTCAATATCGTTGCAAGGCCAACAGAGCTGTTTCCTCGGAAACCAGGTCTGTGTTTATAATGGCTCAAGGCTCCCTGGTGGAGACAGCTGGGCTGTAATGATTTCCTTCTAATGCCGGACCGCTGCTTTGGTGAATCAGTGCTGCAGGTGGACCAATCGGAGTTTAACAGGGCAATCATGGAGATAAGAGGCAGACGCTAAAAGCCCAGAGTTCAGAAGAGCCAGTGCTTTAGAGCTTTATTTGAGTTTGTATCCTAGCCAAGGTCCCCTCAGACCACTTCATCCTTAAATAATGTCCCAACGGATGGACTTTTTTTTACACGCTGGGGGTTGGAGTGCTCTGTTGCACTTGCTGTGATTGGTGGGTGTGTAGGGCTGTCATCCTTGATCACGTAGATGTTTCTCTCCTGCCGCCGCAGTCATTATGCCAGCGTCCACATGACCAGAACGCTTGCCAGGGTGAGGCAGACGTTCCCTGAGAAGGTGCACTTATTTCCCCCTTGGGAAATGACAGTGAGTTCAATTGAATAATAATCATCTTGACTGTTATGTTCTTCGACATAGTTCATATTCTGAATCTACAGTGGGGCAAATAAGTATTTGATACACTACCGATTTTTCAAGTTTTCCCACTTACAAAGAATGGAGAGATCTGTAATAAGCATATTTAATGAAGCTCTCCATCGAATGGGTGAGGGAACGCATGGTGCGCCCCATCCACAAAGATAGCCTACGTCAAGTTTGACGCCTTGCCACAGTTTTGGCAAGAGTGTTTGTGTTTGTGTCATCAGATGTGGGACGCATTTCATCGAGAGCATCCCTCCTGGGCCAATTCACTGCAATTCTCTCTCAGGCCATTTATCTTTCACCATTTAAACACTCACATTAAATTATGACAGCAAGAGCGATCAGGACTCATGCCAGAACTTCAGTATTGGCAATATTTGTTGTTGTTGTTGTTGCTATTTCCTAGTTATTTTTTTATTTATATATTTTTATATTTAATGCACAACGCATCTCACAGTGAAGATTAATTAGGCACAGTACATGCATGGTTCGCTCTCATGTTTTTTTTTTACAGGGAAAGTGTTTACGAATCACTGCAACTTAAATCAAAGCGCAACTGTAAATGTTCCATCCATGTGTAATTACAGACCACGTTTTCTACGTTGTTTGTGAAGATTGGCTAATGATCATTCCACCCTCTGTCATTTCATGTTCATGTTTTTTAATAGTGTTTGGACAGATTAAATGGAGTCTACCTGCAGGCCATTTTATAAAACCCCCACAGCATGAAATCAAACACAAATGCGCTAAACCGAGAGGTCACTACATGATGGGTTGATTTATGCGTAAATATTTCAGAGATGCTAATTTTGGTAGTGTTAACCTTAACCCTGAGTTTGAAAATGTTCCTTCCTGTAGTATCTAATGCATACACAATAGTTGCTGGTTCTGCATGCATTAGACCCCAGGAAAGAAACAGCCCTGCCTCTTCTACACTGCCGTAGACTTGGGTATATGAACAGTACGGACCCAGAGACTAGTGAATAATATCAAATATTTAGCAATTACAGTTTAGGAATGTGGTATACATTTCTGTCTTTTATAGTAAGACAGGTATGTTCTTATACTTGTACTATAAGTATATGAAATTACAAGTTGTTTGGTTTCTTTCCAGCAGTAATATTTACTCCATTTTTGTAATCTCTCTGTATATGACTTTATGTATTGACTTAAGGAATGAATTAAGGATTCATGATATTTCAATAGTATATTTAATTGCACACACTCATCTCTTCTCTTTTTACGCTTAGATTAGCTTTGTCATATTCTTGTCTACCCTAATATTTTACTAACACTATTAAATACATTTAGAAAATGTTAAAATGAAAATCCATTTCATACTGTATATTATAATTATAATGTTGCTATGCCTACATTCAATTGATTGATTTTAGTATTTGCTGTTTTATTACAAAATAATATAGAATTATAATATTGATAATTTATCAATTATTTACTGATTCCTAGTTATAGCCTAATATTAATTCACTTGAGGTTGATGTAGGCAGGAGATGGAAAAAAATATATATTTTTACACTGTATCAAATAAAGATGCTCTTCTTTATTTGATACATTGTAAAAATAAATGCATATTCGTTGGTGGTGGTTTAAAAAAATACAAAATAATTTTTTTTCACAAAAGGTTGTGGATAAATACTTATACTGTAAATGCTCTGTCTAAACCCTGATGAGTTATAACAGGCAATTTTTCCAGAGCTGTAAACATGGTGCATTTGTATAGCATGATTGATACTGAAATGTCCCTACCAATGTTAAACCCAAATCCAAGATCTTGCTCTCGTGGAAGCTGATATTCAGAGGGAGACGGAATTTGTCTTGTAACCCAAACCCCCTCAAACCCTCCCAGGCTACAGAGACAGAAGACACTAGCTCAACACACATCTGCAATGTGAAGAAGCAGCATGACCGTGTATACACTTACAACCTGCCTGTCTGTGGGTGTGTGCCTATATGAGAAAGGAAGGCAGCGACAGCTAGAAAGAAGGTGAAAAACCTTGCGCAAGCTTCTCAAACATGAGAAAAGTTGGAGCACTGTAGGGAGTTAATAAAGCATGACGCTTTTGTCACTGTGTGGGGTTTACAGGCTGTCAGCACACCAGCGCTCCAACACTCCTGTTGGGGAGATACAGCAGTAAAGCTTACTGTTGTTGTTGTTGTTGTTTGTTTTAAATCAGACACAAGTAAAGATGTGCCAAATGTGGATCAGAAAACATAAACACATTTTTTTTTTCTCCCAGCTTAAAAATATATTTATAAAACACATAGTTCTGTCTCTTAATTCTGATTGGATTTGAAGCTATTGTAAAATGGCATTATTTATATGTTCGAAAGTTTGTGGTCGGTAACATTTTTAAAATATTTTTTAAAGAAGTCTCTTAAGATCACCAAGGCTGCATTTATTTGATCAAAAATACAGTAATAACAGTAATATTGTGACATACTATTACAATTTAATAAAACAATTTTATATTTTATTAAAATATTTTTGTAGGATTGTTTTTTTTTTGTAATTGTTTTCTTTATTTTATTTTCATTGTTTCTAGATAGATAGATAAATAGATAAATATCCAAGATGTTCTCTGCTGCTTGCTTTTCTGCTTGAAATTCACTGGTTGTAGATGAAAAGCTTCACCCTGCAGAATGTGTGAAAACCCCTCTCTCACTCCAGTTCACTGACAAGGCCAAATATAGACACTAGGCAGGAATGCTGCACAACTGTGTGGGCTGAAACAAGGAACAACAATTGTAACGGGCACATACCTGAACAGACAGGAAATGTTGTTAATAATACATTCAAATATACAACAAAACAGTCTTTTTGCTTGCTAGAGGCTCTTCCCAATTTACAGCATAATACCCAAACACAGTGCTGTGGCTCCATTCCAAAATCTAGAGAGGTGCCTACATATTGTTCAAGTCTGAGCTGGTTTGCAAGTCTCAATTGGTCTCCCTAACTCAAGAGGTCCCCAACCAGCGGGTCACGACCCACTACCTGTAACGCCCCTGTGGACTGTTTGTTGTGGTTTCTTCCCTTTGTGTTGGTTTAGCCCGTCTAATCATTAGTTAATTACCGTCATTGTGCTCACCTGTCTGCCTCTAATTATTCACCCCATATTAGTTCCTGTCTGTCTGAGCATTGGTGTTGGTTATTGTGAATGTTACCCCAAGTGTGTGTGTCTTCTCTACCCGAATCTGCCTTGTTGTCTCTACATTAAATATCCTTATCTGAATCCTTGTCGTCCTCGTCGTTCTGCCTGCCTCCACACATCCGGACCGTGACACTACCGGGCCGTGGAAGAATTGCTACCGGGTCGCAAGAACATTCTGGGAAAAATGTGTATAGATATGACATTGTTATTTATTTGTGTTAATTATTGTTTTTAATTATTCTGTATTTTCTTTGTATCCAATTGATATGGAGTATCAATTTGACAATTTCATGTTAAATAAGTAAATGAAAGATTGCTCTGATCTGTCACATATTAGGAGTTAAACGGATCGCAGTTGATCCGTAATACGTATGAATGAGACCCTACCGTTCGGCACGCACATGATTCGCAAATTAATTTCCCAATTTACACGTACAAGCAATTTTAAACTACAAGAAGAAGAAACGAAAGAGCTCAATTCGTTACTCACGCGCTGTTCTCGCACACAATCAAAGCGCGCACAAGAGACGTGTTTCAGACAGTGCGGAAAAACCGAGCTGCATATACATAAACATAAAAGTAGCCTATGTCAAAAACCCTTCGCGGCATTGTCATTCTCTGTGTTTTAAATATTTTTTTTCTTGCTTATCCGAATAAAATAGTCCGATCTATTTAAATAGTCCGGGAAAAAAACAAACAATATAATGCGTTGAACCACTATATAATGCTATTATAATACTATATAATAGCCTTATATATACAGTGGGGCAAAAAAGTACTTAGTCAGCCACCAATTGTGCAAGTTCTCCCACTTAAAAAGATGAGAGAGGCCTGTAATTTTCATCATAGGTATACCTCAACCAATTTGTTTAAATAACTAAATAGTAAACTAAATGGCAACTAACAATGTTTATTTTTTATATATTTTATTTCATTTCACATTTATTTAACAAAAACTTTGATTGATTGATTGATATGTCTATATAGTTTTTTATGAAATGTATTTATTAATTTTAGTTTTTCACTTGAGTTATTTTAGTACTTAAAGTTAAACTAAACAAAAATGAGCAATGTTGCTTTGGCTAATAGCTGAAATAGAACTATATATATTATTGTATTTAAGTTAATGTTTTTCTTTCAAGTAACAATTTATTATTATTAGTAGTAGTAGTATTACTATTATTATTATTATGGTTTTAATAATGATTGCTGTTGCTGCCTTAAAAGGTAGCTGTTTGGAACAGGGCTAATCTGTTTGAATGAAGAGGCTTATGGCTGTTTATGGTAAAACACCATTGATTTCACATCAGCACATGAGTGATTAAGTGATTATTTGCCCAGACAAAGCTTTTCCCCATATGAAAATGTCAGCAAGCAGATGATTGCACTCATTTTGTACGCCCATGCGATATGCAGCTTACTCCCGACAGTAGTGAAGCTAATTTACATCACCATTTACACGGATGAACAAACTAAACTTGTGTCTCCTTTCTTGTAGCCATCGTGGTTCTGTTTGTCACTCTGCGTAGCAAGAAGAGCAAAAAGGTGCCTCTGATCATCTCGGCAGAGGATATCAGAGAGAACGTAGTCACGTACGATGACGAGGGAGGAGGCGAGGAAGACACAGAGGCCTTTGACATAGCAGCACTGAGGAACCCCGCGGCAGCCGAGGAGATGAGGATGAGGAAGGACCTGCAGTCAGAGGTGTGGAGAGCAATGGGGACCGAGGCTCTCAGACCGGCTTTGACCTTACCGGACGAGGACATCCGTGAAGTGATTAAGCTCAAGGTGGTCGAGGCCGACCGGGACACAAGCGGCCCTCCATACGATTCTCTTCAGACTTACGCTTATGAGGGCCACGGCTCCCTGTCCGGGTCCATCAGCTCACTGGACCTGCCAGAGCCTCAGCCAGAGCTGGACCTCAGTGAGGTAGACAACTGGGCCCTGAGGTACAAATACTGAGCAAAGTCTTTCAAGAGAAAGTCCAGCAGCACGTCCCATAATGGCTGCGCATGTTCCGTAAACCAGAGGTTGTGTGTCGTTTCCCTGATGTCTGGTCAAATGGAACTGCAGTGAAGACTGAAGGTTTCCTTTGTTTTGGTTTTTGTTTTTTCATCCAGTTTTGCTGTGGGATTATTGACTGTTGTTTTTCACTGGCCTCTACAAGTGGAAGTTGATTTTTGAAGAAAACGTTTAAAATTGAGAAAAAATGAGAACTCATAAAGGAAGCTATTTTCCCTGGTGTATATTTTCTATTGCTTAATAAAAATTCATGATTCCAGATAACTAAATCGTGCCTTTATTACATATTCGTCCATTTCCAGCAGCTACAAAAGCGTCCAATTCAATGTCCTGGCTGGTTTAGGATGACATCTTTCATTCTAAACTGATCATTTCCCCTCTCGAAATGTCTGTTTTCACAGCCTGTAGTGTTTAAGTTTCACCTAATATTTATGCCAGATCGACATTGAACATAGAGTGTGCAACATTTAATATAAATCACCTCTGTCAAAAGCAAGAAAATAACTTATTATAATTCTCATGAGCAGAGAGAGTTTTAATTGGATAACAATGGCATTCTGTGAAAGATAATTGGATTCAAATGCTTGAGTGGGCACCTTTTATTACTTTCCTAGGACTTATAAATCAACTGTGAAAAGTCCAATCCAGTCCTGATCAATTTACACGAGCCTCACAACATGCAGATAAAGAGCCCACGGACTGCTTTAATAGTCACGTAATGATGATGATGATGACTTCTAAACGCATCAACACGACGGCGGCTTTTACTGATCTAAATGCGCTCGGCTGTCACAAGTAGTGTTGGATAGTTTAAGAGGATGACTTTTTGAATACTGAGGGAGTTTCAAAAGTGGGATTCTTTCCTCTGACAGCAGCATTAGCTAATTAGTAAGCTAGTCTGGAAACATACCAACTGACAGATACATCAATGATTTTAAAGAGACAGTTAAAATGATGACAGGAAGAAATCCTTGTTTTTGACAGACTATGCACCGGTTTGCTAATTGTACAAACTGTCTTGCTTCCTCAGTGTTCAACACTGTAGACCTAATGGGTTTAATGTACTCAAATTATTGGAGGAACTTATTTCTCCAAATTAATTCTCTGAAAACTCAAGTCATCAGGTTCTCCTTATGTGGTGTTTTAATAGTCTAAAATAGTGAACTTAGCCATTTAAGTGAACAAGTTGCAACTAGACTTTAAGCAGCTTCATGTAGTTTTGTGTATTTTTGTGACTTTGAAGCCCATTACAGTTAAGTGAGTGGAATTCACTATCATAAATATATCACTGTCATTATCAGAGTGAATATCTGTACACCATGCATTTGTTGCTGCTTTAAAGCAGTTTGCCCTTTTCACAGAATTTGTACCTGTTCTCCAACCTTACATACTCCCAGAAGAAGCGTATTCCCCTTATTAGAAGTCAGTTTATAATCAGAATCATTTACAAAAAAAGCATACTTTAACTCTGATTTGTGATATAAAATGTTAGTAATTTCATTATCATCAAACAACAATGTTTGTTTTATGTATTTAGAGCTTATATTTAGACATGTATGTGATAAACAAGCACATAAGTTAAATATTATTATAAATATAAAATTAAAAAATGTTTAATAATACAATTTTCAATCATGTATGTGTATGGGGAGAAATGGCTTGAAATCAACAGGCCCCAAGTTTACCAGAGGAAAGCTAATCATCCAAACAGTGAATTCTCTCAAAAGTTGACTCTCAACTGTAATGAAACAACATCAGCATAAATAAAAAACATATTACATGTCCACATAATCTCCTTTGCTTTGACCAATGATGCATAATTAAATTATTCCACAGTGAATTCTCTCAAAAGTTGACTCTCAACTGTAATGAAACAACATCAGCATAAATAAAAACATATTACATGTCCACATAATCTCCTTTGCTTTGACCAATGATGCATAATTAAATTATTCAAGAACAGGGGCTTATGGGTATTCCCCTAGGCTCAGTTTTATACTTGATTGTTTTGAGTTATTAAAATTTGAATTCTTAATTTGAAGGGCTTTGAAACCAAAGAAGTTTAAGAAACACAAATATTTGCAGTAGTATTCCAAAATGTGCCATGTCAAATAATGTTCAATTAGGACCACCTGAGGTTTGTAATTTGTTTTACAGCATAGAGTATACATTTGAATTGATTACATGTGAGTGTCTTTGAACATTGTAATTGTTCTTTAAAAGTCAGACAATAACACGATATTTAGCTAAAATTTTTATATTTCAAGAATTATGTTAGTGTCTGTATTTTTAATATCACATGACCATGTGATGATTGGCCTTCTGACTCTGTGTATTTTACGTTTTACATTCTGGCCAAGAAAAGAAAACGTCACATTGGTACAGCCATCAAAGAACCATGGTATTTAAGACCCTGACATTTAACTGGGCAAAATAATTGTAATGATAATAATTGCACAATTGCTCTTATTTTTGTCTGATACCTCAGGCCATTGTGCCTCAAGCTTCATTCCTGACTGATTTGACTGTTTATAGATCAGCAGTTGTTTTTTTTTGTTTTTTTGCCCACCGTCCACCAAACCACACACAATAAAAACAACTCCCGCACACCACACCCAATCCACCAGTGCATTTTTCTTCCTGTTTCAGCCTTCAGTGTTGATTGATAATTTGTTGTTTTTGTTTGCACTGAAGAAGTGGCTATTTTGTTGTTAATGATGATGATGGTGGTGGTGGCTGTGATGTTGATTAGCTTCACTAGAGAAATTGACTTTTCCTACACAATCAGGCAGCTCATCAACGCTCTGACCCTGATTATCGTGAGCCAAATACATCATTATCATGCGACCAAAAGCAGATGAAATGTTATAAGATTATTTGAAGTGGGGTGAAATGGGTCTGGATTTTTAGTAACTGACCTCTTCAATTTGGGTGATTGACGCTGGATGAAGTACACATAGATTGCCATGTCAATCCTGATTTTTCTTTTGAATTCAATGGGAATTAGCAGAGTGTAGCAATTCCTCACACTGTTCAAAGCATGAAAGGTAATAATTCAGGTATTGTATGAGACTGGTCTACTCAAAATGTTTAATAATATAAAAAAAAAATAACATTCAAGACTTGGACTACACTTTTGAGGACTTGAGAGGCTTGTCTTTGTGGCTAGTTTGGGCCTGTTTGTCTGATGGGTGCAGCATGCAACAGTTGGGTAAGAAAGAATCCCAGAGGCCCATGTTAGGAAACTGAGATCAGTGACAAAACATCAAGTGACTCTGGTTGTATCTATGTTAGCATCAAACATTTATTGCTTTTAGCAAAATATTTTTTATGACAGTGCTGAAGTCAATTTGGATGTTTAGAACATTTCATTTGAAGAAATCTATCTATCTATCTATCTATCTATCTATCTATCTATCTATCTATCTATCTATCTATCTATCTATCTATCTATCTATCTATCTATCTATCGATCTATATATCTATCTATATATCTATATATCTATCTATATATCTATATATTTCTTTATTTATCCAAATTCTTCCAGTTCTTGATGGATGGAAGTCTCCCATTACATTTTTTTCTGTATTGAATATCTTGCATCCTACGCAAAAAAACAAACAAACAAAAAAAAAAAACTGGTAACACTTTACAATAAGGTTCCATTAGTTAATGTTAGTTAATGTATTAACTAACATGAACAAACACTGAAAATAAATTTATTACAGTATTTATTAATCTTTGTTAACGTTAGTTAATGAAAATACAGTTGTTCATAGTTAGTTCATGTTAATTCACAGCGCATTAACTAATGTTAACAAGCACAACCTTTGATTTTAATAATGCAGTAGTAACTGTTGAAATTAACATTAACTAAGATTAATAAATGCTGTAGAAGTATTGTTCATGCTTAGTTCATGTTAACTAAAGTAGTTAACTAATGTTAACTAATGAACCTTATTGTAAAGTGTTACCAAAAAACTTTCATTATGGAAGGAAAATGGTTTGGTGAGTGCCAATTCCCGCAATGAATTTAACAAATCAATCACTGACCACTTCAGCTGTAGTGTTTTTCATTAGAGCTAATCGAGTAACACATTATTATTTATTAATACGAAATTTATCAACTTAAACTTTGTAACTTGAGAATTGATTCTAGCTTGCATTGTAACAATGATACTGGTCTTTGTTTGATGATTAAGCTGGCACATGGACTGAGTCCTTGCACTACAAAACACAAGAAGTATTCAGGTTTTCATACACTTAATTATTTATCCCCTCAGGTTTTACAGAATACAAGTTACTAAATAGGAAAATACAACACAATCATCTATGAAAGGTATTGTTGATGTGATCTTTTTAAAACTTTTTCCACCTTGCACACAGCAGTAAATTGTCGTCATCATTTTTGTAGTCTGATTTTACTCTTCTGTTCTTTTTTGTATCTCTTCATCTGATTAAGTGAGAGCAGTGCTATTCCATTCTGACAGTGTGAACAGTTTTGTGATGCTCTCACTGCTCACGCTGTATTTTCATGTCAACAATGGTGAACGTTTCATGTCCTCTTTGTTTTTTCCTTGAATTTAGAAACTTAAATGGCACTGGGAAAAGAGAGGCACCTTAACAGGCCTGACCTTCTCTGTTTCAAGGCTATAGTATACAGTAGTCTTTCAGTTCATTTTCATATTCTTGTCTCAGAAGAAAAAAAAGCCATAGTCAACCATTTTGTTGACAGATTTCTCCTTTAATATCCCTCAGCTTTGTCCTTTTGCCTGCACTGTTCTAATTATACAGCCCAATTAGTGTTAGAGGAGCTCATCAATGCCACGGCTGAGACGAGTGGCCCAGTTCTGCTCTGCAGTCATGCACTTAATGTGTGGACCTATCAGACAAGCTCATATCTGAACTGTGAGTCACTGTAATGTAATCTAAAGAACAGCAAAATATATAAAAAACATGATGGTTCTAGTTGTTAATAAAATGCCTTTATATTAATTCTGTATGATAGATTTGAAGTTAGGTTTGCCTACATGTTTTAATAAATCCACTTACGCTCAGGTGCGTTTTTTGGTATTTTCACCTAAATTTGACGTACTCAAATTCAAATGTTTACCCTACACACATACAATGGAGGAATTTTTTTTTTTAAATGGTTTCATTGTAAAGAAAACCATTTGAACTTCAAAATATGAGTGTAATTA